TACAAAAATACACCATTTATATCTGGTAAAGTCTCAGGTGAGGCAGAGTAATAAAATATAATACAAAAATACACCATTTATATCTGGTAAAGTCTCGGGGTGAGGCAGCTAGAGTAGTAAAATATATAATACAAAAATACATCATTTATCTCCTTTATAGAGGTGATGATAGAAATACAAGGTCGTACAGTATAAACGTGTTTATGATGGGAGGCTGACAAAGACGGAGTGTTGGAATGGGGAAGGGGTTACAGTGTTACAGTATTCTTTTAAACATCAGATTAAAATTATGATTATTTTTGAGATTCTGCTGAAATATTTACAATTGCCATCATCAGATGCTCATATAACTAGAACTCTGCAGGTTCAACAAAAAATGTGGATTCCTCAGTGTGTTTGAGTTACATAAGGAAAACAATATAGATTGTGTGAAGGAGATGACTAGAGCTTTTGTTGGGTGAGGAGTTGTCTCCACTGAGTGAATGTTGATGAGGATTTGTGGTATCTAAGTTAGGGGGGTGGGGGGCTTCCTTATGGATATAATTAAGGAAGATGTGTTATCATCATACAGTGTCTAAGTTAAAGATTATATACAGTTGGTTTGTTATAGAATTACTGGAAAAAATATTTACATACACAGTATCACTGTGTATTTGTATTCTTAAACATGCTGATCCGTGAATTCCATGTTGACCCCCATATTTACAAGGAATTTTAGTTCGGTATTAAATGGACAGGTTATAAGGATGTTAGTCAATAACAGAAGGCCAGTGTTATCTCTGTGTAGAGGTAAGTGTGGATTTGATCCAAATCAATAGATACCTAACCCAAGGCTTGATATCGAACAACGGGGAATTCCGGATAAATGTCACACCTCCATAACATACCAACATGTGATAGCGATTCAGTCTCGATAAACAAAGCACTTCAACACCCATTTCCTAATCTCTTCCTTTAGATCCTCAGCATGGAACTTTCAATCAATGTATTTTTTATCAACTTAGTTAAATATAAACTTTAATTGAAAAAAATTGTGTATATGCTTGATGAATGGGTTTGGTTTCAAATATAACAGTTATAGACTTTGTTTTAGGTGAATATGTTGTTATATGAACTTGGTCAATGTCACTTTCTCAGGTTCACATATTCACCAAAGCAAAAGTGTTAAATTGTTTTATTAGATGTTAGATAAGGTGGAATGTATAAATTATACAGAGAAAAAGTACTGCATTTGGCAGAGAGCAGATTGTGACGTTATGATTAAAATGATGTCATAAAGTGAATATTGACCTGCTGTTTCTAAAAATAGTAATGCAGAGTCAATATCACAGAATACTTCTTCCTTGTGATAATTATCTAACCAATGAGGATGTAGTTGTTTGTCATCTAATAAAACAAGTTATTGTCATCTAATAAAACAAGTTATTGTCTTCTAATGAACAAGTTATTGTCATCTAATAAACCAAGTTATTGTCATCTTATAAACAAGTTATTGTCATCTAATAAACAAGTTATTGTCATCTAATAAACCAAGTTATTGTCATCTTATAAACAAGTTATTGTCATCTAATAAACAAATTATTGTCATCTAATAAACCAAGTTATTGTCATCTTATAAACAAGTTATTGTCATCTAATAAACAAATTATTGTCATCTAATAAACAAATTATTGTCATCTCATAAACCAAGTTATTGTCATTTAATAAAGCAAGTTATTGTCATCTAATAAACAAGTTATTGTCATCTAATAAACCAAGTTATTGTCATCTAATAAACAAGTTATTGTCATTTAATAAACAAGTTATTGTCATCTATTTTAAAGTTATGTTTACCTATGTGCAGTAGTTAGTGTCTTACAAGCATCTCCTACAGGTGATGAAACATTTCTAATTACCTGGTATTAATTAAATTAAATAGTTGATGAGTATTTCAGATGTGTTTGAGGCTGAAGATAATGAGTTAGATGGGTACATATTGAGATATACTCATACTGTATTTTCACACTCCCACATGTCTATGTGTGGTGGTTGTCCCGAAGTGGTCTATGTGTGGTGGTTGTCCCGAAGTGGTCAATGTGTGGTGATTGTCCCGAAGTGGTCTATGTTTGGTGGTTGTGCCGAAGTGGCCTATGTGTGGTGGTTGTCCAAAGTCGTCTATGTGTGGTGGTTGTCCCGAAGAGGTCTATGTGTGGTGGTTGTCCCGAAGTCATTAATGTGTGGTCTATGTGTGGTGGTTGTCCTGAAGTGGCCTATGTTTGGTGGTTGTCCCGAAGTGGTCTATGTTTAGTGGTTGTCCCGAAGTGGTCAATGTGTGGTGATTGTCCCGAAGTGGTCTATGTTTGGTGGTTGCCCCGAAGTGGCCTATGTGTGGTGGTTGGCCCAAAGTCGTCTATGTGTGGTGGTTGTCCCGAAGAGGTCTATGTTTGGTGGTTGTCCCGAAGAGGCCTATGTGTGGTGGTTGTCCCAAAGTCGTCTATGTGTGATGGTTGTCCCGAAGTTGTCTATGTGTGATGGTTGTCCCGAAGTCATTAATGTGTGGTGGTTGTCCCGAAGTGGTCTATGTGTCGCAGTTGTCCCGAAGTGGTCTATGTGTGGTGGTTGTCCCGAAGTCGTCTATGTGTGGTGGTTGTCCCGAAGTCATTAACGTGTGGTGGTTGTCCCAAAGTCGTCTATGTGTGGTGGTTGTCCCGAAGTGGGCTATGTGTGGTGGTTGTGCCAAAGTCGTCTATGTGTGGCGGTTGCCCCGAAGTCGTCTATGTGTGGTGGTTGTCCCGAAGTCATCTATGTGTGGTGGTTGTCCCGAAGTGGTCTATGTGTCGCAGTTGTCCCGAAGTGGTCTATGTGTGGTGGTTGTCCCTAAGTCGTCTATGTGTGGTGGTTGTCCCGAAGTCTTTAATGTGTGGTGGTTGTCCCGAAGTGGTCCTTGTCTGGCGGTTGTCCCGAAGTGGGCTATGTGTGGTGGTTGTGCCAAAGTCGTCTATGTGTGGTGGTTGTGCCGACTAAGTGACCTATGTGTGATGGTTGTCCCGAAGTTGTCTATGTGTGATGGTTGTCCCGAAGTAATTAATGTGTGGTGGTTGTCCCGAAGTGGTCTATGTGTCGCAGTTGTCCCGAAGTGGTCTATGTGTGGTGGTTGTCCCAAAGGCGTCTATGTTTGGTGGTTGTCCCAAAGAGGTCTATGTGTGGTGGTTGTCCCAAAGGGGTCTATGTGTGGTGGCTGTCCCGAAGTCGTCTATGTGTGGTGGTTATCCCGAAGTCATTAATGTGTGGTGGTTGTCCCGAAGTGGTCTATGTTTGGTGGTTGTCCCGAAGTGGTCAATGTGTGGTGGTTGTCCCGAAGTGGTCTATGTTTGGTGGTTGTCCCGAAGTGGTCAATGTGTGGTGGTTGTCCCGAAGTGGTCTATGTTTGGTGGTTGTCCCGAAGTGGTCAATGTGTGGTGGTTGTCCCGAAGTGGTCTATGTTTGGTGGTTGTCCCGAAGTGGTCAATGTGTGGTGGTTGTCCCGAAGTGGTCTATGTGTGGCGGTTGTCCCGAAGTGGGCTATGTGTGGTGGTTGTGCCAAAGTCGTCTATGTGTGGCGGTTGCCCCGAAGTCGTCTATGTGTGGTGGTTGTCCCGAAGTCATTTATGTGTGGTGGTTGTCCCGAAGTGGTCCTTGTCTGGCGGTTGTCCCGAAGTGGTCTAGGTGTGGTGGTTGTCCCAAAGTGGTCTATGTGTGGTGGGTGTCCCAAAGTGGTCTATGTGTGGTGGTTGTCCCAAAGTCGTCTTTGTGTGGCGGTTGTCCCAAAGTCGTCTATGTGTGGTGGTTGTCCCAAAGTGGTCTATGAGTGGCGGATGTCCCAAAGTGGTCTATGTGTGGTGGTTGTCCCAAAGAGGTCTATGTGTGGTGGTTGTGCCAAAGTGGTCTATGTGTGGTGGCTGTCCCGAAGGCGTCTATGTGTGGTGGTTGTCCCGAAGTCATTTATGTGTGGTGGTTGTCCCGAAGTGGTCCTTGTCTGGCGGTTGTCCCGAAGTGGTCTATGTGTGGTGGTTGTGCCAAAGTCGTCTATGTGTGGCGGTTGCCCCGAAGTCGTCTATGTGTGGTGGTTGTCCCGAAGTCGTCTATGTGTGGTGGTTGTCCCGAAGTCATTAATGTGTGGTGGTTGTCCCGAAGTGGTCCTTGTCTGGCGGTTGTCCCGAAGTGGTCTATGTGTGGTGGTTGTCCCAAAGAGGTCTATGTGTGGGGGTTGTCCCGAAGTGGTCCTTGTCTGGCGGTTGTCCCGAAGTGGTCTAGGTGTGGTGGTTGTCCCAAAGTGGTCTATGTGTGGTGGTTGTCCCGAAGTGTTCTATGTGTGGTGGTTGTCCCAAAGTCGTCTTTGTGTGGCGGTTGTCCCAAAGTCGTCTATGTGTGGTGGTTGTCCCGAAGTGGTCTATGTGTGGTGGTTGTGCCAAAGTCGTCTATGTGTGGCGGTTGCCCCGAAGTCGTCTATGTGTGGTGGTTGTCCCGAAGTCGTCTATGTGTGGTGGTTGTGCCAAAGTCGTCTATGTGTGGTGGTTGTGCCGACTAAGTGACAATAATGCTGGTAACAAGAGTATGATACAGCAAATATTTTATAAAAATATCCTTATAATTTTAAACCATTATACTTGTGCACAGCATTTTAAAAGAAATTAGCCCATGTTTACTCCTGACTACTGTAAATTGCTATTTTTGTGTGTGTGTGTACTTACAATATGATACACCGGCCCACACATGTATATACCTGTATCATATTTATTGATAACGAATAGCTCATTGCAGATCCATCACCAATTCCAAACATGCAATGAATTACATGTGTCCATTGTGACCAGGTGACTTATGTAATATTTTAAAATCAAAAGACATGGCTATTTTGCAAAAACTAACCTACTAATTCAGTCCAAAAGGCTTGACTGAGAGGTTTGGAGTAGTCAGAAGTAACAGTGAGGAATAACTCTTGTCACCATAGTAACGCATGTGTTGATATCAATGTCTTTCAGGATTCCATTGACAGGAGGTCAGAGGTCAACTATGGCCGATTCTACACCTCCAGTTACCTAGAGAAAGGCAAACAGAACTACATGAAGCGGGCCTCACTGAACCCCACCCCGAAATCTCACCACAAATCACCTCACTTTCACAGACCAGGTAACCCCAATAGTAAGAGTCCCAGTTATTATTTTTAATCAGATAGGATTCTAAGGCAGTGATGGTACCCAGCCATTCTTGTCACATCTACTTATGTGTGCTAGATCTGTAGGGTTTCTTGGCAGTTTTCTAGCCTGCCAATATACTTATATACTAATCTATAAGGTTTCTGGGTGCTCAAACATTCTTTTTATACAAAATGTTAAAAAAAAGTAGAAGTTTTGTGTAATTGTTATACAAACTTTAAAAACAACAAGTCTTGTGTAAAATCAACAAGTCTTGTGTAAAAACAACAAGTCTTGTGTAAAATCAACAAGTCTTGTGTAAAAACAACAAGTCTCGTGTGAAAACAACAAGTCTTGTGTAAAAACAACAAGTCTTGTCTAAAAACAACAAGTCTTGTGTAAAAACAACAGGTCTTGTCTAAAAACAACAGGTCTTGTGTAAAAACAACAAGTCTTGTGTAAAAACAACAAGTCTTGTCTAAAAACAACAAGTCTTGTCTAAAAACAACAAGTCTTGTGTAAAAACACACTATTTGTTCAGCATGTAATTCACGTTCTTTCTTTTGCAGCAAACTTTTCATATTCAAAGGAAGCTCCTGATTTCCTCAAAAACTGCAGAAAAAGTAGGTAGTCTGTGATAGCCCTTACACCCCAACAGGTGTTTTTATATACATACTTAACCTTTGGAGACCTAGAGACACATTTTAAAGTATATATTAATTTTTTGACCTTTTATTTCAAGTATACATCAAACTTGATAAATACTGAATTATATACTGACCTTGTAAAAAGGTTTCTCTGCTACTGTTGGATGCATGTTAAAATATAAACAGCCCTCAATTATCTTGATTATAGTCCCAATATTGTATATATTTCTACTATAGGATGATTTCTGAATATGGCAACAAGTTCTTCATACATTTCAATTGTTAAAATGTTGACAGATAGGAAAAACCTTACAATTGAGTTTTATGATTTAATGGCAACCAAGAGATGAACTATACATTGCAAATCAAATAATTTGAATTGAGGCTGACAGTGTTTTGTTATCTTTGAACAGGTGGCATGGCTCAACTAGGTAAGTACTGGCCCACCTTATATAACTGTTGTACCAGCATCAGTAGCTGTTATCTCTAAAGATTTTACATCTTCATTTTGTGTCTGAATCAGTATAGATCATATCTTAAATACTTTTTCTCTACATTTTCTCTACTTTCATAAATACGTTTTAGTGGTACCATTTTGTAATTTTATTTTACCACTTTTTATGGGGCTCTTGATCTGCTATGTTAATTCTATACTGGTATGTATATTAAGTGGTATTTTATTTGAGTGAAGTTCATGGTGTGCTAATTCTCAGTGTAAATCTAGCAGGTACTGCATACAGGGGAACTTTCACCCTGTCAAACTTTTACCCTTCACTGTAAATATCCATGTTTGCACAGCATTAATTTCGCCCTTCAAATCAATGACTATATATGAAATGTTGTGAATTAATATTTACTGTCAGGGTATTTTCATCCTCGTCATGGAGGGCAAAAAATGCAAAAGTTAAACTGCAAGGAAATTGCCCGGTATACAATATGTTGTTATACATTGAGCTTGGCGTATTAAGTGATCCTAGTGTGACATCCTAGATTATCTATAATCTGATGAGGATTATTGCAGCCACAGGTACCAAGGTGGTGGTGAAGCGGACCCGACGTGCCTCGTCACCTGGTGATCTGAGGAATGAAGAAGCTGTCCGCATGAGCATGTTCCCAGCAGCCAAACCTCCCAAACCCAACGAGGTGACGAAGATAGAACGGGAGGATTGGCCTGGTCCTCCGTCTCCCGCCGCTATACTGCCCGAACTGAGTAAGTCTATTGGCCACTGCTTGGACTAGTTAAGTATGTTCAAGACTGTTACGAATGTTCAGATCACTGTAAAATGGCTCCCATACTGCCAAAGCCAACATTCAAATAGAAATAAACTGGAATTCTGTAAACTGTATCTCAAGCTTGTGCAAGCAAAAGTAATGTCTTTATGTAAAAGTGAAGTGCTATCTTGGCAAAGGTAGAGATATTGATGTTGTAATACCAACAGGCACTATCAAAACTTTCCTCGTGCACAGAATCTGCATTATCTGATAGAGAGATAGAAAAGCACAATCTGGAATCCTTCAAAAATACTACATCTCCCAAAAATCTATAATATAAAAAATAAGTTGTTAAATAATTGTGTACATTGGGCCAGGGTATGTGTATAATAGAGTTAGTATTGACTAGGAATGCTGCTGTTATCTATGGCTTCCAGCGTCAGGCTTGAGGAAGGCGTTACGCCCCTCATGTGACAAGAGGGAGTCATAGTCCCGACACTTTATTGTTATCACAAAGATACTGCAGCAGATGTTTAATGATGCTGCACAGAATGCAGATCATAGAATCAGGGTAATCATTATACTGTACAGCAAATTAGGGCACTTACCGGGTAATACACAGCACACACACACTATACACGTCATAGACTAGGGAGAATCATAACATGGACAGCACATATATGATACACAGCACACAATGTATACTCACTACACAAAATACACACAGTATACAGAGCACATGAAGCATAAACACACACACACACACCCTCCCTCAGCATACACACACACACACCCTCCCTCAGCACACACACACACACACACACACACACACTCCCTCAGCATACACACACACACACACTCCTTCAGCATACACACACACACACACCCTCCCTCAGCATACACACACACCCTCCCTCAGCATACACACACACACACTCCCTCAGCATACACACACACACTCCCTCAGCATACACACACACACTCCCTCAGCATACACACACACTCTCCCTCAGCATACACACACACACACTCCCTCAGCATACACACACACACTCCCTCAGCATACACACACACACTCCCTCAGCATACACACACTCCCCCCCTCAGCATACACACACACACACCCTCCCTCACCATACACACACACACACCCTCCCTCAGCATACACACACACACACCCTTAGAGCATACACACACACACACACTCCCTCAGCATACACACACACCCTCCCTCACCATACACACACACACACACACCCTCCCTCAGCATACACACACACACACCCTTAGAGCATACACACACACCCTCCCTCAGCATACACACACTCTCTCCCTCAGCATACACACACACACCCTCCCTCAGCACACACACACACACACACACACCCTCCTTCGGAGCATACACATTATACACATTATATACAGAATAGACTAGGGGGGATCATTATTGTGCACAGAACACAGTATACACACCACACAAAATAATCTTGTATAATGAGAGGCCAGTCAGTTTGTCATACTCTGTTACCCATAATGATAGCCATTCCTGACCTTAATATCGCATATATACATCAGTGTAATTGTTACGTTATAGGAAACCATTCTGTTCAATTACTGAATCATTTCATTATGTAGTTAATTAACTATAAGGTCATATGTTCTGTCAGAATAATAACTAGATATATTGAGTATGGTATTCAAATGGGGAGAAATTGGAAATATCATGGTTTACGTCTAAATGGCTGATGCAATATTTATTAACCTGGTTTGAGTTGACAGAATCTGTCATGTTATTTTGACAGTGAGGGCCAGACGGAAAAGTCGTGGGGAGGTAGAGGATGATGATGAAGACAATGTCATTGAAGATCCCAGGATCCAGAAGGAGATTGATGAACTGTCAAAGTTTAAGGACACCTCTGGAATAGGGTCTATCATTTACAAGGAGCTGGAGGAGAGACGAGTCATGCCAGTTAAGGCACTTGACCCATGGAAGTCTTCGCGGGCACCTAATGCCAAATACGAACCCAAATATGTTACACGATACCAGTCGCCTATGTTTGCATGTAAGTCTTTCATGTGTAGTGTCATTTCTGAGAGTTATTTCATCATTCCTGCATTTTCTCTGATATGTACAATCATACCAGACTACCGGTGTAGTCAGTAGAAATGAACAGTATAGATACACTGCACTGCTTGGTCTGTTTACAAAGGTTAGTCAGTAGAAATGAATAGTATAGATACACTGCACTGCTTGGACTGTTTACAAAGGTTAGTCAGTAGAAATGAACAGTATAGATACACTGCACTGCTTGATCTGTTTACAAAGGTTAGTCAGTAGAAATGAACAGTATAGATACACTGCACTGCTTGATCTGTTTACAAAGGTTAGTCAGTAGAAATGAATAGTATAGATACACTGCACTGCTTGGTCTGTTTACAAAGGTTAGTCAGTAGAAATGAACAGTATAGATACACTACACTGCTTGGTCTGTTTACGAAGGTTAGTCAGTAGAAATGAACAGTATAGTTACACTGCACTGCTTGGTCTGTTTACAAAGGGTAGTCAGTAGAAATGAACAGTATAGATACACTACACTGCTTGGTCTGTTTACGAAGGTTAGTCAGTAGAAATGAACAGTATAGTTACACTGCACTGCTTGGTCTGTTTACAAAGGCTAGTCAGTAGAAATGAACAGTATAGATACACTACACTGCTTGGTCTGTTTACGAAGGTTAGTCAGTAGAAATGAACAGTATAGATACACTGCGCTGCTTGGTCTGTTTACAAAGGTTAGTCAGTACAAATGAACAGTATAGATACACTGCACTGCTTGGTCTGTTTACAAAATGTCGGGTTAAACAAGCTTATAGAAATCTGATATTTGTTACCAAGATGTAAGGATTCCTTTTTGTGTTCAATTCCTATTTTTATTTACATTATATCTTATTTTTTCCCACAATGTTGTATTGTCAGGGTCCTACATCTTATTTTTGGTTTGCCTTCAGTTGTTATATTTGCATATGGGCACTTCTCAGGATGGTTAAGTATACATATGGTGTACTGACACCAGGTTTTGTTCCCCAATAAATTTACAAGTTATGGTCCTTTATTTTACTGTGATTCATGTTGTCAGGGGTATATCTTATATACTCTTTCACTTGCAATTACAAGATTTCGTATGCGAGTTATTGTTAGGATGGCAGAATTTTACTAAAACAAATGTGTTCTATGCCCTGTTATTTACAGAGTTATGTCCCTTTGAACATTTTTTGACAAGTTATCCAAATGTAGGGGACTATTGATTGATCCCATCATTACATTGCTTTGTTGGTATTATGTCCATGCTCATCTAACTAGTGACATAATTTACAAAAAAGGTCAAACTGTAAAATAGGGTCTATGTATAAAAATCTATAACCAGTAAAAGGCCTTATGTCATAAATAAGGTGGAACAAATGCATCTCTTAATCCATTTCAAAGATGAGGTCCACTTTGCTTCTAAAATATTGTTACCCTTGTAGTGTATTATGAATAAACCTGTTTATTGTTATTTATAATATAATAGTTCTAATATCTATAAACTAGCATTCACTTTCTATTTTAGCTCCCTCCAGGTTCCTTGACCGGCCACGAAGATCGTGGGATGACAGTGACCTCCGACGAGGCTACAGAACCATCTCAACCATGGCTAACTATCCAGGTCAGTCAGACGCTTGTAAATAGTGGGCCACATTCATGGGTCATTAATATGCTTTGGTCACTCACTGACTACTTTAGTCAAGTCAATAAAATTTTGAAGAATTTTCATCTAGATTTACAATCTATACAAAAGTGTGGGAGATTTACATCACACATGATAAAGTCCCCACAATATTACGAGACTGTCATGTCAGTAATTCAAACAGTACAGCAATAGTTTGGTTGCCATGTTAATAACTGTTAATCAAAAGTCAATGACAGTTCTTGCGTATGTATTGGATTAATATTCTAATAGAAATATTGAGTATATACCGAACAAAAGAACTAGTCAAGTCTTGGATTGCCACTACAATAAGTCCTAAGTTTAATACCGTTTCATGTTTTTAGTGCCGAAGCCTGGTTACGGATCGTATGGCCTGACCCCACGGGCGGCTACCCTACCCCTGTCAGGCCTGTACGGGGGCGTGTTTTACAACTACAACAACTATGTAAGTCATTCCTTGTTTTGTCCTTTAATTGGATAGGGAATTGCGTTTTAAGAAGCGTATCACAAGTTATATATATATCTTATAGAAAAGCTGCTATGATATCAAGATAATGTCTCTTGTAGAAGTACCTCTTCTTTACTGAATTGAATTAGAAAAGCATACATGTTTTTACATTTTATCCGCAGGGAGTTTAAAAGACTATAATTTACTTAAAGTCCATTATTTGCTAAGTAGAATGTATTTTTAGCTAATACAACTGTATGGCATTTGGAAAATATAGAATTATTTATAAATGTTATCTATGTCACCTATTAAATGTTATTTATACTCATGTAAAACCAAATATTTTCCAGCATTATTTCGACTTTGATGAATCGGATATTACAAGGCATCGGCCATCAGCTTGTAAGTGTTGTTTGACCTAAAATATTTCATTATATATTTACCAGCTTATAAGTATTCTTGTTTGTCCTAAAATATAACATCTTGTTCATTAGCTTGTAACTATTTTTGTCAATCTTAAAATATGATATTTTATGTCCATCAGCTTGTAAATATTGTCTATGAGTTGCATACTAGGGCTCAGTTATTTGAGCATGAACTAGGAAATTCGAAGACCAGGGTCTGTATTCATGAAACCATTAATCTCATACTCAAGCAGGGATTTTGTAAAGTATAATTAAATAAATAGAAAAGAAAAAAATGTCAATGATTTAGAATAAATTTAAAAAGAGTTAAAGCCAAATACTGTTTACAATGTTTACATTTGACTTTTTGATCGTTTGACATGATTTAGGGGAGTTACAAGAAAGGGAGTTGGAGTAGAGAATCCATGCTTGAGCACAAGCAGTTTCATGAATACAGGCCCTGGTTGTTGAAACATTTGTTAGATTAAGGAGTGATTGACACATATTCCAAGATATTTTGTTCTAAAATAAATATGTTTTCTGTTACATCTACTTGTATTCAGATACAAATTTTCATTATTTCTTAAAAAAATTCATCAGGTATAATATGCAGAATTAATGCAATTTTTTTTAGGTTTTAAATGAAATAATTACTTAGCTAAGGAAATTTTGCCTTAATAAAATATCATTTTCTTTCTTCCAGATACTTCAACATCCACAGTGAATACAGATGTAAGTATTATTTATTGAATTATTTGAGAGTTACCTGACTAAGGGATGGGTAAGAAGATTTTGAAATATTTTTATCAAATGTCAGAAAGCCTAGGGTCATGATATCTGGCTACCTGGGATAGAGTGCTCTGAAGTTTTCTTCAATCAAATGACCTTGACCTGCTTTCAATGTCACATGGGTCTAATTTGTTGAAAAATTCAACATCTTGTTAAAATTTGAACCTTCAAAATCCTTTTTGACATTTTGCTGCCAACAGCTGTTATGTTAGCATGCATAAAGAAACAATCTTAACCAACATATGTATATATCGTTATAGAAGAAGACTGATATAGGCATAGCCTGTTGTCTGATTCTTTTGTCAATACTGTTCTAACATCTTCTTCAATATATACAACTTATATGTTTGTATTTTATATGTATTGTCAATAAAATACTTTCGAAAATGAAAAACATATATAATGTACAGGTTGCAGAAATTGTTCGAGGGTTGAGCTTACCTAGACTACAAACATACTATACTTAGCTTACGTAAAATACTGGTTCAGATGAGTTTGGTACGTCATTACAGCATGGGTCCCGTAGCCATATTTCCAGTATACATGAGGGGCCTGGACTGTCACTGCTAACCTTACAGAGGAGTACATGGCACACGGAAGCAGAACCTCCTGTAAGTACATCCTAACAACAAGCGTTCCACTTGTCCAATATTTAGATGTGGAGAAAATAAATGTTTCTCTTAAAGATCAATCTTAATTTGTTGAAATTTATTAACTCCATATTTATATTAATATTGTAATTTGAAGTAATATCATACATTTTGATTTGCAGACTTATCCATATGAAAGATTAAAGATTTCCAATTTTGAGCTGCCAAAAGACACAGACAGAAACTTGCTGGAGGTAAGGAGTTTGCTGTTAATTTATACCCCTGTAACACAGATAGGGAGGGTGTGTTTATACGGTCCCTGTAACACAGATAGGGAGGGTGTGTTTATACGGTTCCTGCAACAAAGATAAGGGGAGAGGTGTGTGTACTGGAACCAGGGCTGTCTGTCTGGTCCGCTGTCTGGCTGGCTGTCTGTGCACTTTTGGTTTCTGCAAGATAACATTGGAGAGAAGGGGTCAATGTTCTATTCTTCATGGTTTGAATTATGAACAAAGCAAAGAAATTCCTATCTTAATAAATTGTTTTAAAAGGTATTTAATGATATATAATGTCATATATTCCTTCATCTTATGTAGGTAAAGTACAATGTGTTTTCTTTCTCCAAATCTCAGAAATTAAAAGTAAAAGTATACAAATGAGGTTTCGTCTTGTTAAATTTTATTCAAACAGTTCATCAGAAGAATTTTAAGTATTTCAGGTTTGACGTTGGATTGAGGAGCATGTGTTTTTACTTAATATACACTTTAGGAATTATTTAACAATAATCTCAAAATCAAGTTTGAATATAATTTTTGCACTATTTTACAGATACATCTACTGCAGGAGGACTTTGAGGATTTATTTAAAATGAACAAAGAAGAATTTTCGCGATTGGCAGAGTGGAAACGTAATGACTTGAAAAGGAAAGTTGATCTGTATTAAAGTAACTGGACAGTGGCCATCATTTTCTGGATAGTGAACATTGTCTGGGTGTAGATCCGGGAGTGTGGTGATGAAACATACTATAGTACACAATTGTAAGGGTAACATGAGACAAGTACAACCCACTGCAGTGACCTACTTGTGTTGAGTACAACCCAATGTGAAAACAAACATTTGCTGAGGTAAAGGCCAGTGCTGGACAATACTTGTGTCAAGTACAATCTAGTGCTGTAAAACACTTATGATGAGTACAACCCAGTGCGTTAACATACTTGTATCAAGTACCGTCAGTACAGTGCCATACTTGTATCATTTACAACCCAGTGCTGTATCATACTTGAGTCGAGTACCACCCAGTGCAGTGCCATACCACCCAGTGTAGTACCCAGTGCTGTATTATACTTGTGTCGAGTACTACCCAGTGCACAGTGCCATACTTGTGTTGAGTACCACCCAGTGGAGCACCCAGGGCTGTATCATACTTGTGTCGAGTACTACCCAGTGTAATGCCATACTTGTGTTGAGTACCACCCAGTGGAGCACCCAGTGCTGTATCATACTTGTGTCGAGTACTACCCAGTGCAGTGCCATACTTGTGTTGAGTACAACCTGTGTTTTGGTACTGACTAGTATATATAAATGTACCACACCTGTGCACATAACACCCTAGCTGTATAGCCCACACACAAGACCTATAGCCCACACACAAGACATATAGCCCACACACAAGACCTATAGCCCACACACAAGACATATAGCCCACACACAAGACATATAGCCCACACACAAGACCTATAGCCCACACACAAGACATATAGCCCACACACAAGACCTATAGCCCACACACAAGACCTATAGCCCACACACAAGACCTATAGCCCACACACAAGACCTATAGCCCACACACAAGACCTATAGCCCACACACAAGACCTATAGCCCACACACAAGACCTATAGCCCACACACAAGACCTATAGCCCACACACAAGACCTATAGCCCACACACAAGACCTATAGCCCACACACAAGACCTATAGCCCACACACAAGACCTATAGCCCACACACAAGACCTATAGCCTACACACCTACAGATCACCTATAGCCCATACACAAGACATATAGCCTACACACCTATAGATCACACACCTATAGGCTACATTCTGGATGGTGAGGAACGCTGAACAATACCCTATATATGTAAGGTGCTGAATGATGCAATAACCCCATTGATGAACAGAACTGACCGATACCCGTGAATGTTGGTGTGTCCATCTCCCTGTTGATTCTTGGTGGGGCATTGGACAGGATTGACCGGGAAATGTGTAATCTTGGTGTTGTCCAGGACAGATTGTATGTATGTGTTGTAGCCAGCCTCCCCTGGTGTACCTGTGCTTACAGACGTCTAAGGTAGAGGCCTAGATACTTACTTGAAGGCTGCAGTACACGTGTACTACTATACTGTATTACCACCTCCGTAACTACTCCTGGAGAAGCTCTCCATCACGTCAGAGAACTTGTATTCTTGATGTATAATTTCTATCTGAAATTATGTGTCTCTGTAATTTGCATAATTTCTGTTTTTGAGTTGTTTGTTAACGTCTGTGAGAAGGGTTATTTACAATCAGAGAGAGAAGCCGGTCACAGACATACAGATTTGATTTGCTATGTTGACAAATCCTGATCAAGTCAATGCTTTTTTATCAGGAGTAAATGAAGGCTTTTTATATAAAACGATAATATATACTAGAATTCACTCAGTATGTGTACTGCCAGAGAAATTGTGAGTTGTGTCAAGTAGTGAGCTGTTTGAGGGTTTTAAACATAATTGGATTACTTAGGAGGATTATTGTTTGAAATTGCTTAAACCAAAGATTGTTCTTTACTTGAATATCATTGTTTTATGTTTAAATCAAGATACATAATACATGAAAAAGGTGCATTATTTTCATGGGAGATTGAAAAACGTGGCTTATAAGTGGTGTTATATAACATATCAACTAGGTATTACACAGACATTTCATCGCCTTGTGGAACACTTGTTGTCAAGGAACTTCATCATCATCTATTGTTGACCTTTGACCCAGATGAGTGACCTTGACCTTTTTTTGCCATGAGTTCATTCCAGCACCTTTCCATTGTTTCACAGCTGTCCATACATTGTACGAAGGGTCAAAGGTCAGAGAACACAAGTCATTGTTGGGAAATATTCATATTTTACTATAATTTATTTGCTGGATAAATGTTTATCACTTAAATGCACAGTAGGGAATTGGATAACCAGTTTATAAGTTGCTTGGAAAGAATTAGTCAGAATGACATAAAAAGGATATAGTTACAGGGTCAAAATTGAGGTGATTTATGGTGATCCGTTGACAGGGATAGCTAGAGGTGGTTAGACATAGAGACAGTTTTGTACACTATAGATATAGTATATATGTATATATATCCACTGATGCTCTGTCAAGTAGCTGTACAGGTATTTACATAGTTATCTCCCCTGGTCTAAAACAAGAGACTAACAGAACTAATACTTTTTAGCTTTTATGTGTCACATTGGTGTCCTCAAGTCGGGTTAGAACTTACATCAAATATATACTATATATATACTCCTTTAGCTTACATATGTTAGCCCAGCTGGATGTTACTGGGAATTGTGTCTATAATCATATTCTTGGTGATTTTTTTTTTTATTATTATTATCTTAATGATATTATTTGTAAATGATGTTTTGAATGAAATGATAAATTTTTTTTTTGTGTTTTTTTTGTAGATTAACAGATTTTAATGTTGATTGTGTGATATTTTCGTGTCTGAAAAGTCAGTGAAAAAACATTATTCAAGGGTGACCTCCCTTAGTGTGCGAGTCTGTTAAACTGTCATTGTGTGAATGAGAGAATCAGGTATTTAACCTTTGTCCATATTTTACAGTGATATTAGTAAATTTATTAAATTAATTTATTATGATGATTCTTGTGAAGCTTTGTATTACCTTTTCACCTATTTATGTCATTTTTAGCCGCTATGAACTTGTTTCACCTGGCTGGAATTGCTTTTAGTAAGGCTTTAATTTTATGATTCATTTCCTTTTTTAAATGGAATGATTCAAGCTTGCTACTGTTAATAGAGAGAGAAAAAAAACATGCTTTTAGTAAGTTTTGTAATATTGTCATTGGAATGGGGGAGTTTGTTCAACACTGCAGACTTTGCTGGGTAATAGACTTCTTAGCGAAAAGACTGTAACAGGGTACGTACAGTAAACATATGGTATTTTTGTCCCAGTGTTAGTATAGATGTTTGTTTTCATTACAGGAATATTAGTTCAAGGGTCAACAAATAAACACATTTTGTAATAATTATAAACACAAAATATATTGCTAGCTAGTCATCTCCACTGTACAGTTTTGTCATGGCTTCTCTCAAGCTCAGAATTGACCTCCAGATTGAAGAGCTCTTCATACAAATCAAGATCATGTAAATGTTTGCTGTTGTCTATATATACTACAGATGTTACAAGCTGAGTGAGGACCTAGATGTCTGTGAATGGCTGTGTTAGTGAGTGTAAGCTTACCTTAAGTGTGGTACCTGTTTGACGTGTGTGAGCATGCCCAGTGTGTTACCTGGTTGACCAATATCAATACCATTGTGTTAAAGAATTATGCAAATGTTACAAATTATATCTTATTCCATAATCAAAAGTGTGTACATAAGTAATTCATGGATTATATTACCAATTTGATTTCAGGGTGGTTATTTAATCAATGTTTTATCCATAAAGTAGAAGTTTCAACTGACATATTTTACATTTTAAAATAGTGTTGTAGTTGTCAAGGTGACCGGTGATTTGGTTGCTATGGAGACAGTGGTCAGTCACTGTTGAGGTAATATGCGGGTGAAACGATCATGTGATAAAAGATGTATGCTGCTAATGGATAGATGATCATGTCCTTTTAGCTGAATTGAATTAACGCATTATTTTAAGATATTCATTTTTTTTAAAATCACAATTTAGTGTCCTCATGATTTTTAAAGATGAATATAAAAATGCTTAACACAAAATAGATTTAAGAGGAGGTTAGCCTTGTAAGGCTGTACTACGTCTCTCCGTGTTGGGTTTACAGGCTATCCTGTCAACCTCCTGGGAGGGGAGACAACCTCCTGGGAGGGGAGACAACCTCCTGGGAGGGGAGACAACTCGGTTGATTGTATATATTTTACACAAAAATCATCTAGTGCTATTATACATACCTGTGTTGAACAAGTGAAGAAAACTTGTGCTGGGTAATATAATAACATTAAATTTACAAACAGAAAAGGTATATGTTAGAATGCTCTTATTTTGGTCTAAAGCTGTCGTATCAGTACAAGTTATTTTTTCTCATTAGGTGTGCACTATCTTTTGTCAGTATCATACATTTTACCCATCAATTTTTTTATGGATACTGTTTTTGTTCAAACTACTTCTGTTAATGAGGCAGTAATGCTGCTATTTGAAAACACTCCTAAATGTTTAGTATTATGAAGTACACGACTGACCTTGACCGTCACAATAAACATATGCAAAGGCAATAAAGATGAAAAAATAGGGCTTGATATTTGTGAAGTAATCAACACATGTGCATGTATATAAGATTTTATTCTTCTTCAAAATCAAGAGTTATGTATTCCAAGGTGAAAAACAAATCTACCTTGTCAGATGTAATGAAATGCATTTTTGTCAGACAAATATTAAGGGCTGTGTGATTTTGAGTTATATTTAGAAAATCTTTAAGTGCACTTGCACTCTTTGAGCATATGCAGGATCTGTCATCTAGTAATCCATAATTGTTGACCAATGAAAAACGAAACTGAAGTAGTAGAATGTGTGATCAGCAATTAGTCTTCTTCATTATGAGACTGCATATTTCCATCCTTGGCCATTAATGCTGCTTTTGCTTCAAACAAGTGTTCACCAGTCCACATGCCCAGTATTGGCTGTCAGATATGTAGTGACTTATAATACAAGCTGTTTCTGTATTTACATTGACTTCTGTAGTACCTGTTAGTGAACTACACACAGACTATGTTAACATGGTTTGTCAACCAAATCATTGATAATAAAACCCTTACTGATATGTAGTATTACAATTATGTGATCAGACAAAATATTTTGTCCATCATCTTTCATTGGAGCTTGTGCAATTTATCTGTTAGCTTAAATAGCTTAACTGACCCAACTGGCTTTGTGAGCTTATGCCGTGGTACATCACCTGTCGTAAATTTTCCCTTTAAAGGAATTCTAGTACGGAAAAGCTTGGCAGATTTTGACTAAATTTGGCATGGATCATCCCTTGGCAAATGGGATTTTAAAAATGTTGTGTAAATGATGGGTGTGGCAACCCTGGAGCAGAGGGGCAAGTCCGGAATAGGAAATACTAGTTTGTCTTCAAAGGACTACTTCTTAAATGATGGTGAAGCGATGGTGGCCTAATCTGGCATAGAGAATGTCTTACCTGTGGTGGGTTAGCGATGCAGCCTTCAGGTGATTCCTGCAGTTGCCATGACTATGAGTCTGTCAATATATTTATCATCGACAGACTGCTGTCAGAGACTTGGGAGTTTTGTTGTTTAGTTACTGTAATAAAAAGAACCTTATAAAATTGTGTCCTGCAATAGGCCTATGCTTCTGTAAACCATTAGTTGTCTACATCATGATGTATGTGTAATTACCAGCGTATTGTTAGGTGTGTCTGTTGCACTACTGAGGGTGTACAATCAGCCACACATTATCTTCTCATTACAGGCCTCGACTCAACGTAGAAATCATGAAAATTACCCACACAATGATCCAACTTTGTGTTGAAAGAAAATTAAGAAAAAATGTTTTAATACCGGTCATTTTTCAAAAGATGCTAATGATGTTTCTGAAGAATGAAATGTCTAACTTAACGGTGATCATCACCGAGTTATTGTTCATCCTTTCTAGTTTGAGTCTTGGCCACCATTTCCCTCGCTGATTGACAATATTGTAATGATGCTATTTTTTCGTAATTGAAATGTCCAACTGAAATGGCAACCATACTTATGAACATGTATATGAGAAACACATGAGAAATCCATCCAATAGTAGCGATGTGCTGTAGTCTGTCTCTCAACGCCTACTTAGTAATATAGGTCAATTTTGTCAAAATGATCTCTTTCATTTTTTGCAAGATTAAGCAGTGGAGCTTGTTTTGCTTGCAAAATTTAACATGAACTGTTTTATGTGAAACTAGTCTTTAATATTTGTTTTTCTTACATGCAATTTATTTGCTGCCTAATAATATTTGGTTTCTGTAGCCTTATAACTACATTGAACTGTTTGGGTGTAGTTCTCTGTGAGATCGAGGGCCAACAGCTTACCTGTGATTGGGCCCTTCGTATCCTTATTTTCCTGTGTATATTTTATCCCTCAAACTTATGATCAATCATTTTTGTTTTTCACAAGAAGCAATGTACATTTGATTTCAAACTTAGAACTCTAACCAATCAGATAGCAGCTTTGATACATAGCAGCATGTAACAGTGATTATCATTTGTCAGATTTATAATGTGTTTGAAACTTTGGTAAAAGATTCCTGGCTAGTTTTTCGAATTTAAAAAAGTTGGTAAGTTTGTAAACTAATGCTGATTGCCTTTACATGCTGTATTTTGAGTTTTTTGGTTTGCCTGTAAATGATGTCCTCTCGTACAGCCCTGGAGCGATCAGCTTGGCCAGTGCCCTCCTCTCGTACAGGTCTGGAGCGATCGGCTTGGCCAGTGCCCTCTCATACAGGCTGGAGCAATCGGCTTGGCCAGTGTCATCCTCTCCTAAAGGCTGGAGCGATCGGCTTGGCCAGTGCCCTCTTACGGAGCTATCGGCTTGGCCAGTGCCCTCGTCTTGGCCAGTGCCTTCGTCGTACAGTTCTGGGCAACTGACTTGGCCAGTGCTCTCCTCACATATAGTCTGGAGCTATCAGCTTGGCCAGTGCCCTCTTGTTGTAGTCCTGGAGCGATCAGCTTGGTCAGTGCCCTCCTCTCGTACAGTCCTGGAGTGATCGGCTTGGCCAGTGCCCTCCTCTCGTACAGTCCTGGAGTGATCGGCTTGGCCAGTGCCCTCCTCTCGTACAGTCCTGGAGTGATCGGCTTGGCCAGTGCCCTCTTGTTGTAGTCCTGGAGTGATCAGCTTGGTCAGTGCCCTCCTCTCGTACAATCCTGGAGTGATCGGCTTGGCCAGGTCTCTTTTAGTCAATGTTGCTTGCAATCTGTTTGTAGCCCAAGTCCTTATTTGAGCAGCTTGAACAGCCAGCAAATAAAAATAAAATCCTTAAAGCAATTCTTGTGTTTGTTGTATTATAAAAGATATGAATAATATATTGTCAGTGTGAAATTCTGTTCAGTAGTTATCTATTTGAAACTTTCTCAATCTGTGGTTAGTTATAAGTTAGAAATGTTTCTATTTTTATTCAGGGATGCTAGTCTGTTAGTAACACATTTAAATTATGATGCTCAGCACCTGTTTGAAGATGACCAGAATATTTGTAGTTTTAATTAGGTCACACTCCTTTCTGCTCGAATGTTGTTTTCTAAACAGTATCTAACCTACTTATTTTTTTCCAAATTTGGTTTATGATTTTTTTTATGTCATTGTCCGTACCAATTTCAAGGAAGGGTGGAATCTGTACATATTTAATGATGGTACAGGCACATATTTCACTCTGATTGGTTGACAGCTTCCAAACATTTAAATATCACTACCACCACAAGCATGCCACACAAGGGGACGCTAATTCCGTGAATTTGGTTGGTCAGATGTCGGTGTGAATTATTTGAACTCTTAAGGGATAAATTAGATTGAAATATACCATAGTTGGTAAATATCATCATGAAAATTGTCTCCTGTTGGAAAGGATCACATCAGCCTGAAATGTTCTCCTACATTTCACAGAGAAGGTGACACAGAACAACATATGTATGTAGATATTTATTGATGTAGTACACACTGCCAAGCTCTTACCATAAAACAGGTATGGCCCACAGCTCCATATATATACAAAAATAAAAAATGCCGCCAGGCAAAATCTGCACGACAATAATATCAGCTAGCTGACCGCTAACAAATTTATTACAATATATGTGAAAAATAAACATCTGCTAGCAGATATATATAGCAAATTCATCAGAAATGTTGCTTTATTAGATTCCGTAATGATAAAACACTGTACAAAATGATCATAGATAATGAGGAGCCGACTGATGATAAAACAAAGCACCTGTAAGATTAATGTTTTACAAAGCAACAGTTAAAAGTGGGGCATTATAATGTACAGAAAAACACCATACATAAATAGTACAGCAGAAATATAAATAGTCCTTGTAAATATTACTATCACAATATACATTTTATATGCAAGATTTTTTTTATTTGAAGTTAAAGATTTCTTTAGTATGAAAGCCACACTAATTTTCTTTTCAAACTTCTCGGTGTCTGAGAGTATAGCCGTTACTAACGGAGATACTCTTCTTCCTTCCTGACACATGTACTTGGTGTATATGTACTAGTACAAGTTATATTGGCACAGTTTTATAAACATTACAAAAGGCAGCACTATGTAGCTGCTACAGACCATACACAAATACTCAAGATTAATTAAGATTCTTTGAATCCAATTAAGAAATTGAATTTTCAATAGTTTTCTCCAACTACTTGCCCTCAGACAGCCACTTTGAACCCTTACACCTGCCACATACATTATGTATTCAACACAATAGTGGGGGGAGGGGGGATTCACACATGAACATTTTAAAATGAAATGGTTTATTGTTTAATTGGTTCATTCTGCCAGGCCAAGTGCAGACTCTGATGTAGGACCCCTGGAAGAGTGACAGATCGTTGGCACATACATTATTGTATAACGGCTTATGCCTTTTGTAACCGGGGTAATTCCTCAGCTATGGGGGGGAAGGGCGAGGGGTCAGTAGGCATTGTTGAAAAGCGCAAGAAATTACAGTCATATTTTAGTCCAAGGAAAACCTTTCATATTACTGAAAATTCAATATTTGACAAGTTTATTTTCAAGATATGATCAGATCAAACACAAGCAACAAACAATCGCTCATGACATGGAAGCCTAAACAGTATGCATTGGAGCATTGAAGGCCACTTATAGCAACGACATGGTCAACTGCCATACCGTCCAGTAGTTATTACAATCTCCGAGACTTGCCGAGTGAGGAGATCTAAAAATGTAATATCTCAGTATTCAATATTTACAAATATCTCATCCTTCATATTTACAAAACTCTAAAACATATAAAAAGCGAGGAGACTTCCAATCAGTCTCCCATTCTGCCATATTTACACACTCTGAAACATATATTTCATAATGCCTTCTACAGTTTGACTAGAAAACATGGAAAACAATTAATGTCTGATTCTAACATTGTTTGTATGTTAATATATCAGTTCTTACCACCTGGTATACCATTTAGGAACAGTCATGTTGCGACTTATTATCGCACACAATTCTACCCATGATGCACCTGGAACTGTAGACCAATTCACTTTCACCTTATTAGACTTTTTTGGGAGGGGGGGATCATCCAAGAAAAGTGTATTATGGATCACACTGTGTGTAACTGATTTTTTCCCCCTGTGTGGAATAGGTTGTCAGTAAAGTAACGATGAAATTTTCCTGAAATTGACTGATCTACACAATTCCACACTGCTTTATCATGACTAAGTTACACATTAATTCCAATGATCATCCAATCAAATTTCATTCTCGGGGAACATTTACAATGTAGCAAATCAAACAAGGGACATATGCACCAAATAATTTCCACTTATCTATCATACAAATATGACAGATGTTGGTAAAATCTGTGTCTTACTGTCTAGACAATTTGGTTTCTAAATCGAGTGAGAAATACCGGTACATGAAAATTCTAAACATGAATTTCTTAATAAACAATTCAGATTGTAGAAGTTTCTGTTTCTATATTCTACTTTTATAACATTGTTCAAAGTACAAAGATTTAAATGATCTGAATAAAGCTATTGAACACATAGCCTACATGTAAGCAATAGGGTGTCTACAACAGACACTGATTTTAAATATATTAAATATAATGTATAGATACATACACAATAGGAACAATATTCTGATACTGAAATATTGTTTATAACATATACAAGGAATCAGCAGGACCGTCAGTCCAGTCACAGTTATAGTTTGGTTTCAGAGAATTTTATCTAAATTTTGTTACTACAAATCATACAATGGCAAGAATGGATACAAATTCGTCAATTAATATGCTGTTTTTGGGATATCTGATTTTACGAAAATCTTCCAAAATTAGAAAAAGAAATATTGTTGTCCACATACTTAACACAAATCCTCCAAAATTCGAACAAAGACAAATATTGTTTTTGACAATGTTATTTATCATGATTTTAAAATAAATCAAAAGGTCTATATGACCTGTATCATCAGTGATTTACCAGTAAGCTCATTACTACCAATAGTTACTCGGGTAAGTGTTTTACTCACTTGATGCGATATTACAAAGCCCTCTATTTCGATACAAGTGACACCAATCTTATCAATATGTACCACACCCTGTCAGAAAAACACTACTCACAGACCATTTCTTCAATGAGTAATCTCGTTGACACTGTTTGCAACTGCAATCATAGTGCTTCACTGGAAGGGACATAACTCTGGCATATCTGTATGAGACCAGCGAAGGGACATAACTCTGGCACCAGTATCTTTTTGATTGTCTCAGAATTTCAAAGTTGTCAAAAGATTTTTTTCTGACCAATAACAAGAATTTGGTTCAAACATGGAGAATCTCTGAATATTTGTGATCCCATTTGAAAAAGTTCAGGACATATTACAAAACATCATAATTTCAAAAATGTAAAACAGCTTCCTATACACATACATTCTAGGACTATACTCACAAATGTAACCACATATACATGGATAGATTTCAGTAAGACATTACAGTGGGAATGTTAGCTTTACATCTTATAAGTAACAGTATCCTGTATGATACAATATTTACATTTCTACTGAACTTGGGCTCAATATACCTTCTAAAGCAGTTAATATTTAGGTTTACTTTTCAATTAACTTTCCAGTTGTCGAATAAATATGAGAGCAAACTGCTTCCCTCAGTAGTCCCATTTATGAATTATTTTCAATTTGTCTTTCCGAGAAGTTTCCGATTGAAATAACCTGTATTTATATGTCGTGTTGTTTCAAAGTTGAAATCAACACAAAACAGCAATTTATCTTACCAGGGCAATGTCACATAGCGAGTGATGATGTCACATGGTCTGGCACATATGTGGTTTTGGACTTGCTCAAGTCTGATGTCTTACAATTTTTTTTGAAAAATATGAAAATTGCACCAAATGTAAATATATGGACTTAATTCTGTTTCGTTGAGGTTTATGGAGTATAAGCCTCAATCGGTATTGAGAACAATTTGATGTTAAATTGCCTAAACACCCAAGATCCAATGAGGCTTATTATACCTCTCGACAGACCAGGGTAAAGTCCATATATACAAATCGGTACCCTTTATGATACAGGATACCAGTTATACTAGATAACACTTTCACATCTATACATCACATACACAACAAACAGTAAGTATTACAAGGTACAGATGTAAAATATAAAAAGATACATTACATGTATAAGTCTACGATTAATTAAAGTCTTTTTATCTTTGCACTTCCTTGAATGTTACTTGGGCTTAGGTAGCAATTCACAGCTGTAGACTCTCACTAAATGTGAAGTTTGGAACAAAGATGCACTGAGTGATTTGATCAACTATAACACCATCAGGGAAGATAGCTCTCCCCAATAGTAAGTACTACAAGTTATAGGTATAAAAAAGTGACATTACAGCTAAGTCTAGGCTTGATTAAGTCTTTTATATCTGTAATAAGTTCTACATTATAACATCATGTGGGTGTAAAGAGGATGGCAAACTCTGACTCACCGCCGCCATTACTAGCATGGAGTGTTTTTAAGAAATAACTGCTCATAACATTGTTTCTTAATTACACCTTGAACACAACAATGGTGCAAGTCAAACTTCTACACAGTTTAATATCAGGAATTTTAAGATATTAACATCAGTTTCAGAGTGTTATTATACTATAGAACACATGGAGTGATATTTAGACTGAGTTAGTTGAATCAGTTGACAAAGATTAGGACTAACATGATAAGTTAAGGGGTATGTACAGTATGTAATCTTTTAGAATTTCAATTACTCATTTCTGTCAGAAAGATAAAATGTTCGTTTGAAGTCTTATACATTGTGCATTATACATTAAATAAGAAAACCTAATGAGCTGTTTTTGACTGGTGAAGTACAAAACGATTTTCACCAAGATACTGTAAAACATGAAACTACCCCAAAAGCAATGTATCTGGAAGTAAGTATTATAAAATCATACTGGAAAATTATTTTGTCTTGGAAGATTCAAGCGAGACATGAAAGACAAACTTCTGAAGTAGCTTTTTGTAAAGGTTCAGCTATCACAGATTTAAAGAACAGCTAGTCTTCATGCACAGTCCAAGAAATTCTTTCTGGAAAACAGCAGGCTCTCAACAACCATCTTCACTGTACATGCCGAGCACACAGCAAGTAGAATGAAGAATTCCTACAGAATGTGAGAAGAGGTCATTCAAAGGGAGATAAGCATCAGTCGACAGAGAGGTTGTTGTTAATCTTTGGTGTGGTGTGTTTTTTGGGCACAGGCGGGGGTGCCAAATCTTCCTCCTTAGGTAGAGAGGGCAGAGGCTGCAAGTGGAAAGTAGAATGTCTGAAAAATCTGAACCACTGGGTTTTAAAACTACTGTCAACAATTTCAGTCTGCAAGGTTAAACACAACTGTCAACAGCTCATGTCTGCAAGGTTAAATGGTTTGTTTAAAGAGAAGTACAAAGAATGAAGCTTTTGGCCACAAGAGCTAAACCATAACCAAAGACCCTGAACTTTATTCCTTTAATTTACTGTGATTAGTATTGCATTAAAGACAATGCTCATCAACTTATAATGAATCCTAAAATAGCAAAAAATATTATAGTCAAGGCAAGGTAATGCAGGCAAACAATATGTCCTCAACTTTGGGCAAACTTGTTACTATAAATGAACAAAGGGCCATAATCAAATTTAATTATGTGATACTCTGCCATTCACAGAGGCTACTCACATACAATTTGGCAGTTGTCAGTGACAGAGTGTATGTGTGATCCTGACAAAAAGTGATGTACACATTGACTAACAGACATAGCATAAACCAAAGTCCTCTCCAGTAGTATCAGCTGGGGACATAGCATAAACCTGCAGTTCCTTCCAGTAGTATCGACTGGGGACTTAGCATAAACCTGGAGTTCCCTCCAGTAGTATCGGCTGGGGACATATCATAAATCTGCAATCCCCTCCAGTAGTATCAGCTGGGGACATAGCATCAGCTAGGGACATAGCATAAACCCAAGTCCCCTCCAGTAGTATCAGCTGGGGACATAGCATAAACCTGGAGTCCCCTCCAGTAGTATCAGCTAGGGACATAGCATAAACCTGGAGTCCCCTCCAGTAGCATTAGCTGGGGACATAGCATAAACCTAGGTCCCCTCCAGTAGTATCAGCTAGGGACATAGCATAAACCTGGAGTCCCCTCCAGTAGTATCAGCTAGGGACATAGTCTAAACCTAGGTCCCCTCCAGTAGCATTAGCTGGGGACATAGCATAAACCTGGAGTCCCCTCCAGTAGTATCAGCTAGGGACATAGCATAAACCCAAGTCCCCTCCAGTAGTATCAGCTAGGGACATAGCATAAACTTAGGTCCCCTCCAGTAGCATTAGCTGGGGACATAGCATAAACCTAGGTCCCCTCCAGTAGCATTAGCTGGGGACTGATAAATAATCAAAACTTTAAACCTGCAAACATGAGATCTTTTCAGCTGTAACAGCATCTATGAATGTTTTTGCTCTAAGTATGATGTTAGTGTCAAAATTATAACAGAGTATGAGGCCAACATGTCACAAATTTTACTCTGAGTAAAAGGCTGATGTGTCATTTGTTTTACTTATTAAGAGGCCAATGTGTAAAACCCTGTCCAGGCACAGATCATCATCTCTGTCAGAACAAGTAGAAGATCATCCATCTGCTTTGAGGTCTTTGTCACGCTAAAAAGGTTGTCATTCAGGACAGCAGAGGAAAATAACATTCACAATAGATTGATGTTCCAGTATTACAGTAAAACCTCGTTATAATGCCTCCTCTTTCATCTGTCTCCTTGCTTACAGCCACCATATTTCAAAGTATACATAAATTTTTCTGATTTCTTTTTTCAATATTTCTTTTGAGGTACCACCAAACCCTATATCATGCCAAGGTTTTATCTGAACAAATACTGGCAGTACAACAAGGTTTTACTGTAGTGAAATGGACGTATATCTTAAACTAAGAGGAAAATTGTGTCAATATTTATCATTACAGACTTTTTGGTATTATTTTTACAACAAATTTCACATTAATTAAAATCTTTGATATCAATTCTTATTCTTAAATATGTCAAAATAAGTCAATGCATTAGGCATTTAAATCAACTTGTCATTAAGGATGGAGCTAGAAGGAGAGGTAGAGTGTACAGACAGGCTATGAGAGGGGAATCTTCAACACATACACCAAACAACAATAGGCTATACTGTAACATGCTGGTTAGTTCGTATGTGTGGACACGGGTATAAAACAATATCTAATTAGTTAATGATAACACCCCCTCCTCCAGTGATCAACATTTATATAATGATGTAACAGGACTTCCATCTACAACAAGAGGCCCATGGGCCTTAACGCTCACCTGATATATTTATACAGAGAGTTGATTTTGATTTTAACATGAACAAAAATATTATTCAAAGTGATAAAAATCAATCAAGACTAAAAAGTATTTGAAACTCGCACCTCTGATTCTAAACAAGGAAAATGAAGAAATTTTAGCACACTGGTACCTTTGGGCCCCATCAAACTGTCAACTCAGGGTTATAATTCCAATCAAGCTATATATTAACATGTAATATTCAAAGTATCATTTGCCATTATAAACCATAATAAATTGTGCCCCCCCCCTCTCTTTCTTCCCAAGGGGGTGAACGTGAGACCCTAGGGTCATAAACCTTAAGACCCTTCCATCTATGAAGAGTATTTGATTCTACCATATCTGGGACTTGAAAAGAAGAATTTTGAAATTTCAGTAAATTCAACCCTTTTTGGCCGACCCATCAGCCCCTAGGGGTCAGTCAGGGCTCATATGTGCATACCATCAAACTGCTATCCATACTGATAATTCTAATCCAAATTGACTACTTCCAATGGCAATTAAACATCCGGCTGGGATTTGGGTCCTTAACTTCTAGCCAATGAAAAGGGAGAAATACGGNCCCAAGGGGAAACGTGAGACCCCAGGGTCAAGAGAAAGTCACAATTTTGCTTAAGACCCTTCCATCTATGAAGAGTATTTGATTCTACCATATCTGGGTCTTGAGAAGAAGATTTTTGAAATTTTAGTCAATTTGACCCTTTTTAGCCCCGCCCCTCGGGCCCCTGGGGGCTGGGGACCAAACCAGACACTACTTTTGTTGACCTTTGGCCATGGAAGGTTTCTGCAAAATTTCATTGAAATTGGTTTTGAAGAGTTTTGGAGAAGAAGTCGAAAATGTAAATTGTTTACGGACGGACGACGGACGACGACGGACAAAAGGCGATCGCAATAGGTCACTTGAGACTTTGTCTCAGGTGACCTAATAAAAAAATCATCATAACTATCAGCTTTGCTTATTTGAGGATTTTTTCCAATCACAATACAAACATTAAATATTACCAAAACTATTCTATTTTACCCATTTAGAATTAACTTAAAATCAAACAATCCAAGATGATGCACATTTTGTGAATGAGGATATATATATATATATAAATACTAATCAATGGTCACTTGATTCTGCTGAAATAGACCTACCAACCAAGGTGTTAGTGTCACAACATCAGTAAAGACTATACACAGCACTAAAGTGGTGGTTGGGAACATCTCAAAAGTCAAATACTGTAGCACCATATCATTGAGGATCCTATACAAATCTTATATTGCCCCTACTTTAATTAGGCTACACTAATCAGACTCCTCCTTGTTTTAAGCTCAGACTCACCATAGCCAGATTTTGTGCTCTACATGTTTCCTGTATTCGTTAACTTCAACCTTTTTTAAGTATATTACCGGGATTCAACTTTCTGTCATTTTTTTTCTTCTAAAGATATAAAGTATGCCTACATTTAATAATCACTAATAGTACTGATAGTACAAAAATGTTTATTAACAGAAAACATCAATGGAATGTAAACAAAAAACTTGGCCCTCTGATAGTGTTAGTGACAAATGCTGTATGAATGCTTTGATAAAGTGAACAAATTCAACATGCAGCATAGAGTAATGATCTATTAAACTTGAACCTTACACAGACAGTCCTACCTAGTTACTGGCAGTTTAAAACTTGAACCTTACACAGACAGTCCTACCTAGTTACTGGTAGTTTAAAACTTGAACCTTACAAAGACAGTCCTACCTAGTTACTGGTACTCACTAAAAACCTACATTATAACTTGTCAAACCCTACATTATAACTCACTAAAAACCTACATTATAACTTGTCAAACACTATATTAAACTCACTAAAAAAACTATGACAAACCAGAGACTCTACAGAATAAGACAATGAACACCAAAATCATTAGTTACAGAATATCCACATCATAACTTATGCAGGGCTTACATCGTAAATCATTGAATACCTACAATGTAAGTCACTGAACACCTACATCATAAGTCACTGAATACCTACATCATAAGTCACTAAGCACCTACACCATAAGTCACTGAACACCTACATCATAATCACTGAACACCTACATCATAAGTCACTGAACACCTACATCATAATCACTCAACACCTACATCATAAGTCTCTGAACACCTACATCATAAGACACTGAACACCTGCACCATAAGTCACTGAACACCTACATCATAAGTCACTGAACCCCTACAATGGAAGTCACTGAACACCTACATCATAAGTCACTGAATACCTACATAATAAGTCACTGAACACCTGCATCATAAGTCACTGAACACCTACATCATAAGTCACTAAGCACCTACATCATAAGTCACTGAACACCTACATCATAATCACTGAACACCTACATCATAAGTCACTGAACCCCTACATCATAAGTTACTGAACACCTACATCATAATTCACTGAACACCTACATCATAAGTCACTGAACCCCTTCATCATAAGTCACTGAACACCTACATAATAAGTCCCTTAACACATTCAACACAAGTCACTGAACACCTAGATCATTAAACATTGAATGCTTGCATCTTAATTAAAGTCAACAAACGAGGACAATTTAAAACACTTAATACTGGCATCATAAGTCAATGAACGCCAACAACATAAGTCACTGAAAATCTTCATCATACTACTTTGTAAAGCAACATGATACTGGATAGACCTGTGATAAGGTTAGGTAAAAAGACATGCAGTAATGCATAAACCATCAAATCAATGAAAACGATGAAGCATGTTAAAATTTGAAGATGTGGACCAGGATAGTTCACACTATTACAACCTTCAGACTGATATTACACATTTGTACTTCAACCTGGTATTTTAGTGGTATTTTTGGGTAACCATTAACCATGACCCAGGTAACTGGTGCTGGATAAGTGACTTTGACCTTGTATGTTGGTATAGCATACATGACCTTGACCCTGGTATGCTGGTATAGCATACATGACCTTGACCCTGGTATGCTGGTATAACATACATGACCTTGACCCTGGTATGCTGGTAAAACATACATGACCTTGACCCTGGTATAACATGCATGACCTTGACCCTGCAATTCAGGTATACACATATACGACCTTGACCCTGGAACAATGTTTGTTGGTATAACATACATGACCCTAACCTTGGTAGTGCAGCCCATACTACAGCACTATGGATTTGTATTTAAATGTGAACTATGTGACACAGAATGTTGGTATAACATGACCTTGATTTGCTAGTGTTACCTTTATCATCTGGGGAAGATTTCATGACATATATGACCTTGACCTTGACACGTTCATAGAGTATAACTCTGGCTTGGCATGTTCGTGCAACATGACCTTGAACTCCTGTATGCTGGAGTTGTATATCTAACTGTGGTAACATAGAGGGACATACAACACTTGTATGATGATAGTAATGACACCAATGTTGTCCTTGTTTAAAAATTTGGCAAAAATTTAGCAATGCAAAGGAATATTGGAAGCAATTAATTGTGTGTAACTGACCACATGACAAGACTCACAACACAAGGTCATTCCTGTTAAAACAAACTGCCATTCCATGATCCATATCTGTTTTAAAGAACGGTAACAAACATATCAAAAGTTAGTAGAAAAAGTCGCAAGACATTTATGCTTCTTTAGATATTGAACTGATAATGAATCTGATGTAACCTGATTATAACGTACTTACACTCTCATAGAAGTGATTGGTATCATTCTGTGAGGGAAACAGCACAGTATTAAAATCTTATTCCACAAATTCTTAACATGGATACCCAGCATAAAGTACATAGGGGCTAGCATTTCAATGGAGATGGTCCTTAGTCCGTAAGAATGATGACATTAAATGGTTGGAGATGGTCCCTTTTTTTACTAAAACTGACTTTTTTCCACTGGTGCAATATAAATAACGTAGATAAAATGTACTCCACCAAGACAATATATACAAGGTAGACGATATATAGGACCTAGGGTTATTTAAACACAAACTTCATGTTACAATGATTCTTATATTACAAAAGTAAAGGTCATCTACCAACTAATGGAGAAACAAAGTCAAAATGGAAATCAAAAGATGAGAGCAATGTGCAGAAAATAAACTTGGTATATATATATAATATGACGATGACAAAACTAAATAAACCGCCCACTCCACACAACAACAAAAACAATGACTTTTGAGACGACCCCTAAGCTGGGTCGACCGTGACTACCATACCTGTCCTCTGGAACATAGAACAAACAAGGCACAAGAGATTAAAATCTTCTCATATTAAAATAATCAGTGGCTGGAATTATTTTAGTTCAAATTTTCCAGGTGCTTTGAAAAAGGTTAAATTTTGTTTTCCATCTTTACAATATATAGTTAACTGTAAACTTATTACCTCCTGTTATAAATAAAACATCACTACATATATTACTACTGTTGTAAATATTACCTGATGTTAACTTACCTGGGCAGTGTTCTGTACACTAGAGGCGCATACTGTTGTCAATGTTACACATTATACTTACTGTACAATCTTTATATTACCAGTATTGTTAAACATACAACTGTTAGTATCTGAACAAAATAAATACTGCAATGAGTTCTTATTGAAATTTCAATCTTCCTCAAAATTGGTAGTGGATGCTCTGTGAAACTTTCGGAAAAAGCCAACAACCTTGGATTTTCGATGTCCAGGTACACCTGCAGAGGAGTTACGAGACACAGCTAACTCTGGAATGTCGTTGGAGAGGTTGGAGTAATCTGAACAGGTGTTGTGTTTCTCTGGTAACTGTGGCGGCTCTAACAAAGTGTCCGTCTGCTCCTGGTCACTACTGCTGTTCGTGTCTGACAATGGAAAAAACCTTTGATCAAGTCTTCAATAATTTCAATCTGACATCAAGTTAAGTGTACTCTTTAAGGCAAGACTGTAGGAACTGATATTGAGTGTTGTGAGTTACGTAGGAACTGATATTATTTGTGATGAGTTACATAGGAACTGATATTGAGTGTGGTGAGTTACATAGGAACTGACATTATTTGCAATGAGTTACATAGGAAGTGATATTGAGTGTGGTGAGTTACACAGGAACTGATATTGAGTGTGGTGAGTTATGAAGGAACTGATATTGAGTGTAGTGAGTTACGTAGGAACTGATATTGAGTGTGGTGAGTTACGCAGGAACTGATATTGAGTGTTGTGAGTTACGCAGGAACTGATATTGAGTGTTGTGAGTTACGCAGGAACTGATATTGAGTGTTGTGAGTTACGTAGGAACTGTTATTGAGTGTGATATTGAGTGTTGTGAGTTACGTAGGAACTGATATTGAGTGTTTTGAGTTACGTAGGAACTGATATTGAGTGTAGTGAGTTACGTAGGAACTGATATTGAGTGTTGTGAGTTACGTAGGAACTGATATTGAGTGTGGTGAGTTACGTAGGAACTGATATTGAGTGTGGTGAGTTACGCAGGAACTGATATTGAGTGTGGTGAGTTACGCAGGAACTGATATTGAGTGTGGTGAGTTACGTAGGAACTGATAATATTTGTGATGAGTTACGTAGGAACATATATTGAGTTTGGTGAGTTACGTAGGAACTGATATTGAGTGTTGTGAGTTACGCAGGAACTGATATTGAGTGTAATGAGTTACGTAGGAACTGATATTGAGTGTGGTGAGTTATGTAGGAACTGATATTGAGTGTTGTGAGTTACGTAGGAACTGATATTGAGTGT